TCTTCTGGCCTGGGCTCTATGTATTCTTTCAAGTATCCGTCTTGGACCAATTTTTCCAAGAACGATTTGTACACCCTGTAGCTTTTGGTGTGATGTCTGAAATTCCGGTGATAGGAACACCTAACCCTTTGATCATGGGGTGGAGGGATCGCTCTGCATCCTGGGCGGCCATTTGAAGAACAGCTCGTGCTTGATCTTATGGAGCAACTTGAAGATGGGTTCTTTGAACATAGTGTGAACTCCTTCGGACGAACCCCCTGGAGGGGGTAATAATCCCTTTCGGGGAGTATCTTCCCGCTCCCTCTCCTTTCTCTTAGATTGGAGGGTTCGGCCTTTGCTGCTTCCTATCTCGTCCTCGATCCTCGAGTATTTGTTTATCCGAGCCATCAGCTCCCCCATATCCAAGGGAGTCTTCTTGGTCAGGGATCGGTACAGGTCTGTGTCCTTCTCTAGGCCGAGCCGGAAAGACGCCGCTGCTATGACTTCCGAGCAACCTTCTACCTCATTAACCTCTTNTGATCCTTGAGTATTTGTTTATCTGGGCCATCAGCTTTCCCATATCCGAAGGGGTCTTCTTGGTCAGGGATCGGTACAGATCTGTGTCCCTCGCCAGGCCGAGCCGGAAAGACGCCGCTGCCATGACTTCCGAGCAACCTTCTACCTCATTAACTTCTTCCTAGTATCGGATGACATATGGGCGAAGGGTCTCAGATTCCCTACGTCTGAGGGTCAGCAATGATCCAACGTCTTTGGGGCACTTACTCCCCGTAATGAATCGAACCAGGAACTGCCTCGTCAATTCCTTCCACGACCCAATACTGTTTGGGGGAAGCGCCTCGAACCACTTCATCGCAGAGTCCCCCAAGCTCATTGGAAACACTCGGCAGAGAAATCGTTGGTCCGAATGATAGAGGGACATCATCTGCTTGTATTGCCTGAGATGGGCTTCGGGATCGGACTGTCCGTCATAAGTTTTGAACCTCGGCATGATGAACTTTCTTGAAACCTCCATCTCTCCGATCTCCCTGGTGAAGGGTGTTTGTATGACCTCGTCTTCGACCTCATCCTAGACAGCCTTACTCTTTTTCCTGGATTTTCAGCCGGGCTTTGAGATCAATTTCCTCCCTAACGGGATGTCTTCTGAAGTCCTTGAGTTCATCAATGGGCCCCTCATTTCCTGGGCGCCGTGCGGATAGGGTAGAATCCTCCTCGGACTCATCCCCCTCCCTCCGTCTAGACAACCCTCGCCGGAGGTCGTCCAGGGCTAATGGTCTTGCCTTCCTTGAATGGCCGTTAGGAAGGTGCCCGTTGGCTCTCGGTCGTTTTGGAGCCCGGGAGCTCTCTGCCTTGTTGTTTAGATGATTCCTTAGATCCTTCATTTTCGCCTCCTGGGTGGGGAGCCCACGAGATAAGAATGAGTCCCTCGACCCTTCGCCGGAGGCGGCGAATTCGTTGAGCCGGCTTAGGACGTTTACATTGTCCTTTTCCAACTGTCGTAATCTATCGCAAACTTTTCTTCGATTACTTTCGCCAGCTGACGAGCCAAGGGGGCTGATCCCCCTGACCTAATTCCCATACTGGTTTGAGGGGTAACCCCTCTTGACTGAGTGAAGACATTTTTATTCCCGTCAGTGTGATCCCTTCCTCCGTGGTGACAGGGAGCCTGTAGTTCGAGACTTCTTTGGTGGGGACCTTTCCCTTTTTGTCAAGTGTTCACCATGGTCACTGTTCTTTAAACAGAAAAAACTAGGAAAACTAGTCGTTTCCCACAGACGGCGCCAGATTGTGCGTGCAGGATCTTGCACAATATAAAAAATGAGAACAGATCTCTCCTTTGGTGAACCAGAGTGAGTCAGCTGAGTGATTGACCACGCTACTTGAGATAGCCTGTGAGGTCCGGTGGTGACCTGGAACGGCAACGGGAGACCCTCGTGGATTGAAGGAATGATCCAGTAAGGCTGGAGAAAGGTTCCTAGAACAAAGAAGAACAAGTTAGAAGGGCGCCGGAGTGTTTTCCGGCTTATCCCCTCCGACGATCAAGTCAATTTTTGAAAGGGAGAGGAAGAAGAAAGCATTGAGTATATTTCGTAGTCAAGAGTTTTTTTGTTGCATCCCGTTTTGCCTTTTACGAGGAGTATTTATACCTCAAAAGCTCATGATTGCTGTTAGTGTTGTCAGTAGATGATCATTAGGTACAGGCAGTGTGCGCACTGATTCTGATGA